AAATTATTTTTTTATTTATTAAATTCATTAAAATGATGTCATTTTACTTAGAATGCGTAAGTCGATCATACCGGTCATACCGGTGGTGTCATGCCGGTTTCATGACCGGCACAAGTTGAACCAGGTTCAACCGAGTGGCATGCCACCGGCATGACAACCATGCTGGGAAGGCTGCTGCTGTGGAACTGTCCCCTCTCTGGCCTGGAAAGGCTGCCTCTGCTGAAAACCACCAGCTGGTGTTGGGAAGCCAGGTGGTTTGGTAGTGTTGCTGGTATTCCAGGAGAAGTTGGGATGCTGGCACCAACCTTCATTATAGGTACCACTGTAAGGATCGAGGCGTCGAGCATTGGCAATGAAGTCCAACTGCTCCTGGGGTGTAGAAGACTCCCGCATAGCCTGGCAGTCTTCCACCAAATGGTTCGAGCTCTCACACCACTGACATTGAGCTACTTGAGGTCCGGCCAAACCTCTGCCCGGAATAAGACTGTTGAGCTGCTTCAATGTCTGCACCAACTCGGCCACCTCCCGCTCTAGCCCAGACCTGGCCTCCATGGCGTGCACACCACGATCCCGGGAATTCCTGACTCTTGTGCTTTGCCCCCAGGAATGATCTCTGGCAGCCAAGGTACTGATCATCTGGTTCAGTTCGGGTGGAGTCTTAGTGAGAATATCCCCTCCTGGGCATAGAGACTCAATCACCCTCTGGCTTTCTGGAGAGAGAGCAATGTAGAAGTTCCCCACGGTGAATGCATCAATGAAGCCATGATGGGGACACTGCCAGAAAAATCCCGAGTACCGCTCCCATGCATCACGAAGTGACTCATCTGGCTCTTGGCGGAAGTGAGTGATCTCCCACTGGATCTTTGTGGTCTTCAATGTCGGATAGTACCTGTGCACGAACTTGTTGGCCAAATCGTCCCAAGAAGTGATAGACAATGGGGGCTGGGTCTCTAACCACCTCTTAGCATGCCCCGCCAGAGAATGGGGGAAGAGGTGAAGGCGGATCGCATCATCGGGTACACCGTTCATCTTGAACCCGTTCGTAAGCTGCAGGAACCGGGAAAGATGCACCCTTGCCTCCTCATCCTTCAAGCCATGAAACTGGATAGAGGATGTAATCAATTGAATCCAGCATGGCTTGATCTCGAAGTTGTTCGCTGGAATGGGCGGATAGAGGATGACAGGGCAGATATCAGCGACCCGTGGAGTGTAGTAGTACTCCAAGGTGGGACCCGGCGGCTGTGGTTGATTATGAACCCCATCTGCCTGGGGTATTGGGTTGTTCCTAGGATCTGATTCACTGGGGGAACCTGGAGAGATATCCCCTGAGACGGGTTATGTTCACCGTCCACTCTTCCTCATAATCGCTGCTCAAGTGGCCGTCTATGCGCTCCTCCGTAACCAATCTAGCTCGTTGTTGTCTTCTAAGTTGGCGACAGGTGCGTTCAAACTCCGGATCCAACGGCAGTAAACCTCCTGACTGGCTACGGGTCATGCACTACCTGCACACAGTCAAGCAGCAAACCCGTGAAGGCACAAGTGTGACAAAGCAAACAAACAATGCTAAAAAGAAAAGCTAAATTGACAGAAACCACATTTCTTCTACAACCTAGCCGTCCCCGGCAACGGCGCCAAAAACTTGACTCGCTTCTATCGTCACTCTAGAAAATGGCCAAGTGTAACCACCTCCTAAAGCGTAGTAGAGCGAGTTTGGGTTTTAATGTCAACCCGGATCCTAAGTGTGATGACTACTCCGTGAGTTCTTATTATTTAGCAGTGAAAGTGTAGTGAAGGTCCAAACAAGCAAACAAGCAAAGCAGTTAAAGGTTGTTTTCAAGTTGAGAGAGGTCACCCGGATATGGTTCCCCCTAGACTGCAGTTAAGCCGGATTGTAATTTACCAAGTTTAATTTCACTGATAGTTATACTGCGGGAGGTTCTTAAACAGTCTGCAGTCTCGACTAAAGGTCTCCAGACCCTCTCAATCTGAGTCCCCAGCGAGCGGGCGACTAACCTCCACCAGAGTAAACAGATCGAGGCCCTAACGAACCCCAACCTCCACTACCGAAGTAAATCCGGTACAGGATAGAGAATCGACTCCTCGACTAAAGTTGTCAATTCCCTACCTTCAATCAAGGGTGCTCTATCAACCTAGGCAGATATTCTCTTTTCTAGGTCAAAGCAGAAATAACAGGAATTTGATCAGGATTCATGCCATTCAATAAATCAGACCTCAATTGAATATAATCATATCACTGAATTCATACTTGGGTTCATACAATCAGACCTAACATACAAATCTAGGATTCTTCATACCCAGGTGAATAAGAAAGTTACTCCATAGAGAGAGACGGGAACTCTAGCTCAGATGCGGAAACCATACTGTGAAGGATGAGATTCTGCTTCTGGCAATCAATCAGCACTTCTCCAAGCTCAAGCCGGGCTCCAATGGTGATGAAGATCGATCTAAGATGCTTGAAGAATCAGGTTCGTCACTTTCTCTCTCTAGGTATACGCTTTTTCTCTCAAAAACTCGGGGTCCCTCAACTTTGCCCTTCTTTTCCCTTAAGAAGCTGTCAATCGCGATCCCCGGTCGGGTATTTTAGGTGGCGACCGGGGATTGTTAAAACGCATCGTCGGGGACAGGGGGTTAATCCCAGGTCAAGGTCAAGAATACCCGACCGGGGATTTATGCTCAATGCCCGGGCCCCCTTCTGCTTCTCAAACGATCAAAAGAGATTTTCCCCGGTCTGCGCAGATTAATACCCGACCGGGTATTTTTGCTCATGGCGGGGTATTTTCCTCCTCTAGCACACTTCACCTCAAACGTGCTCCTTTCGACCCGAAATATGACATAAACACACAACCTAGCGTGAAATCGGCTTAAAACACGAGAATCAACATCTCAAACGACTCAAGAATAGGGGTAAAAACATGTGCAATCAATGGTCTATCAATAAGCCTAGGAACTGCAAAAGCAACAAAAAAAATTTAATTAAAAAAAAAAAGCCGCCAACGGTGAGTTTCTGGTCGCCGCCGGCTATATTCTCACCACGAAAATGACTACCGCCTCCACGACCTCGCCGACCTCTCCCCCTGCCTCTGACGGCAACTGCTTCCTCGTTGTCGGACGACATCTGCTCCGTCGAGGTTGAACTTAGGCGCTGCCACCTCTATCTGCGGCGGGGTCACCTCTGTCAGCGGCGGGGACGTTTCTGTCTGCAGCGGGGACGCCTTTGTTTGGGCGGGGTCGCCCTCCTCGGCGACGTGGTGGTGGATCTGGTTTTTCGGGCGAGAGAGAGCAGGTTGGGGGGGGTGGTGAGGGAAGGAAGAAGAAGAGGATAAGAAAGGAAAGGTGGGGAGGGCGTCGCGCGGTTTAAAAAAATGAGGGGATGGCGGGGGCGCCTAAGACTAGTTTTCGGGATTCAAAAAGCGGCCTCGCCTAGGTCTTTGGCGGCCGCGCCTATAACCCTACACAAATACACAATATTTGTGTAAATACTTTTTAATCCGCCATATTGATGGTAAATTAAAAAAAAAATAATATTTATGTCATTAACCCTAAGAAAACCCATGCGGGTTAGGGCTGGTAATCGATTAACTGGTTGACAACGGTTACCGGTAAAACAGCTAGCCGACAATCTCGGTAAGCGATAGTCAACAACCAACAATCAATATACCATAGTCTAGTCGGTTATTAACCAATGGTTACCCTGGTATATCGGAATACCGACGAAACCTTCTCCTCTATCGCCAGAAGTGTCTCTGCCTCTAAATTCGAAGAAACCTTCCTCCCATCTCGTTTAAGTTCTCATTGTTTTCCTCTCCGTTCTTGTCCCTCCTGTGGACCCACAATGAGTCACCCACAGGCCACCGCCAAAGAATACAAACATCTCATCCTCTGCTCTTTCAATTCATCTCTGGCGAAGTGCAATTCCATGTCGCCTGCGACTAGATCCAAGACTCTCCACGACTCGCGTGCTGGCCACGAACCGCCGATCGCCGCTCACATCATCTCATCCAACAACTTGCATGTCACCTTTCCAGTCCATGATTCCTCCGACCTCAGCTTCTCCCCGTACTCTTGTTGAAATTGTCGGCCTCAGAGGCTGACGTTTCCTCCTGATCAGCCTCGACTGCTAGCTTTCCTAGCTGGCACCACTTGCCACTCGTCCAGGCACCATCACCAATTCTGGTCAAAGCCTCAACATTTAAAGGGTGATGATGTTGGTGTCGGGGAAGAACTGGCGGCTCGATGAGAAGTCGAGAATAGCAACGAGCCGACTACAAGCTGGTTGCCACTCATCTCCCAGCGTCGACAAGCCTGAAGAACACACCGATTTCAATTCCTAGAATCCTCCGTTCTAATTCGACCTTACCTAGATACCAATCAAAGCAATGCTAGCAGAAAATTTGAGAATTACCTATAAAAATGGACATTTAACGGGTGATGAAACCAGATGTCGAGGAGGTGGAGCCACAAATGCGATCAGAAGGGAAAGTTTGGAAATGGAAGGTTTCATTGGTGGAAAAGCTAGAGAGCGAGCTGAGGAAGAAGACAAAGAGAAGGAAGACCTTTCGTAGTAGACATGAATCAACTATTCGAGTAACCGGTTTGGTAATTGGTAACTGACTAGCCGGTAAACCCTGTACTGCTTGTTGACAGCCACCTAGCGTAATTCTGTATATCATTAACCGACTAATTGACTACCGGTTAAACCGGTGATCGACCAATTATTAGTCCTGATGGAGGTTATGATAAGTTGATAACAAAGTCAATCACTCAAGAAGATAATTATCACACCCACATTTGGCCACCTCATTCCGGGGCCCACATGCAGCATTTCCTTTCAATCCATCCAACGGCCAATACCGTTTGCTGCCATCCTACGCTAAAATGATCTCAAACTCTCAAATTGCACCCGCTCTCACCCTAACCACACACCTTAACGGCCGTTACCATTAAGAAAGTAACAGAAAAGGGCGAGAGAAAGAAGAAAACAGACGCGACCGGCCCAAGGCCCAACTTTTACCTTTCTCCTTCTGTCGGTCTTTCCGCTTTTCTCCTTTTCTCCGTCTTCCGCCTTTTCCCTCCCTTTCCCTTTTATTTTCTTTTCCCCACGGCAGCACAAAGCAAAGCAACACCCAAACACCACCGAAGCCCACCGTCCTTGTCCACAAATCAAACCTTTTCTTTTCTTCCTCACTTTCTCTTCTTCCCTTGAGAACGTTCAAATATAGTTCCGATAAACGTTCCTCTACTTCTACCAGTCTCCTCTGCTCCCGATCTCGGCCAGCGGCTGCTCTTCTTCCGTGTTATCACCACTTCCACGATCTCATATCTCTCCGACTTACCCCCAGCTTGTTCGTGACGCTACATCCATGGCTTTCAGAGGGGTAAGCTTTCCTCTGTTTACTATGCTCCGGTGATCGAATTCCGTGCTGAGTTTTTGTTTTGCGCAATAGATTCTCTGCTTTCTCTGTAGTCTATCCTCAGTTGTAATCGTTGATGGAACTGGCGTGTTAGTGTTGTACTCTTGTTATGATAGATGCGGTAGCCGCCGCCGCCGGCCACGTATTGAATTAGCTTCCGTAGTTGCCTTCGGTTCTGGCTGATTGAAAGGGAAAGGAGAAGTTCAATTTCGTCTTTGCTTTCGTTAAAACGTTCTACTTAACTGTGGTGCAGATTTTTCAGCTTTGGTTTTCTCTTCGTTTGTTGTGTGCACCGCGTAATTTCTCTTTAGAATCGAAGTAAGATTTATGATGATGATGATGATGATGATGGAGATGCTTCAATGGAATTTGGCATTCTTTTTGTCAATTGCAAAGTGCGATTCAGTCATGCTATTGTTGTTGTTGTTGGGAAGCGGGGCAATTACATGTTAGGTTTTCATTTTGGTCAGCCAAACGCAACATCAGGGATGGGGGTTGCAGACAACAGCAAGACCACGTTCCTCGAGCTGCAGAGGAAGAAGGTTCACCGCTATGTGATCTTCAAGATCGACGAGAAGAAGAAACAGGTGGTGGTTGAGAAGACCGGTGGCCCAGCTGAGAGCTATGAGGATTTTAGTGCTTCCTTGCCTGAGAATGATTGCCGATACGCGGTCTATGACTATGATTTCGTCACCGCTGAGAATTGCCAGAAGAGCAAAATCTTCTTCGTTGCTTGGTCAGTCACACTCCCGCTCTTTTCCCCCTTATCCCATCCATGCCTCTTATTTGTTGCCAGTTTAGTATCACGGGTTATGGTTTCTGAGTTTTGGATGCTGCAGTTTGTTTCCGAATCATTGTCTGCATGTGGATTTTCGATACTGTTTCAACTTTGAAAAACTATTGAAATGCGGCATGTGATGGATTTGGTGCACTATTTCTGAGTCTCAGCTCTCTAAAATGTTTCAAACTATTCCTAGAAGTTATTGCATCATTCTTCAGGTAGATGTGGTTTAGGTTATACTTCATCTGCTACTGCTGCTCTGCTTGTTTTGCAATGCAAATTGTTCTATATCGATTCGGTGCAAGATAGTGGGGACTTCCTAAGTTCTTTAACTCCTCAGTAGGATGAAATGTACTGAACAACCATTGTTGTAGAGGCGTGAATGCAATGATTAGGTTCACGACATATCGAATCAACTTGTGGATGGAATCGTGTCCGAATATATTATGCTTCAATTTCTATTCCACGAATCCTATTATAAAAGAAAGAAAAAATGGACTTACATTTGACTGGACCGGAGTGAATCCGAACGAATGCACTTTCCAACCCACAACCTAGATCCCTCATTTTCCCTTTACTTTCTGTCCAGTCCGATTCTGGACAGTACAAGAGTACTGGACCATGCATACTCCTTGACTCGAGCCTTTTCATTTTAATGCCCCATGTACTCTTTGCTGTTGTGTTAAATATGTACCAGAATGATGTCCTTTCTCAGGTCCCCTGCAATTTCATTTTAATACGCATGTACTCTTTGCTGCTGTGTTAAATATTTACCAGAATGATGTCCTTTCTCAGGTCCCCTGCCGTTTCTCGCATCCGCGCCAAGATGCTCTATGCAACTTCGAAAGACAGCTTCAGAAGGGAGCTTGAAGGCATCCATTATGAAATCCAGGCCACTGATCCGACCGAGATCGATCTGGAGGTGCTGAAAGAGCGTGCAAACTGAGAGCACTTCCCATCTCTCAACGGTATCTTAGCAAACCCACCATTGTGCTTTTCTTGTGTGACACACCTACAAGGTCATTGTTACTTGTACGCCTAAATCACTGATTGTTCTGCGACAAGGTATACAGAGTCGGTGCAGCTTGATTGTATCAAAATAATTGAATCACCTGGGAAGGCTGATATCAGGAGCAAGCTTGGCCGCAAGCTTCATACTGCCATGATGCTTCCCAGGTGAAACTGGGATGGTTGTTGTAATGTGATAACATGTGTTGTGTTCGTTTGTGTGTTCTCTCTTGTGTTTTCTTACACGCCAGGTTAGGTTTAAATGGTTTAATGACTACTATTATATTGATATATGGTGGTTAGGGGAAAAATTGGTACGGTATCAGTCTCAATAGTAAGGTTGTCAACCCGTGGACTGATCCGAATTCGGACGAGCTGGTGAGTTAAGAATTAATGGGCCATCCGTTTTAGCCCGGTTTAGCTCGGAAATGTGGAAAGAGTCATTATATTATACTTATCATAATAAATTATATCAAATCTCATCTAACATGAGTTATAACATAAAATATTACACCAAAATAACATGTCGTACTTAGATCCAACACGAGCTGGTGGGTTAAGAATTAATGGGTCATTCGTTTTAGCCCGGTTTAGCTCGGAAATGTGGAAAGAGTCATTATATTATACTTATCCTAATAAATTATATCAAATCTCATCTAACATGAGTTATAACATAAAATATTACACCAAAATAACATGTCGTACTTAAATCCAACATATAGTGAAAATTCACACACACTTATATAATATCAATATTCAAATGTTCAACTTTGGATTCCAAAAATTGAGTTGGACGAAAAGAAAAATCGAAAAATAGCCGCATTTCGCAAACCAAAGAAAAAAATGGCACAATTTGACCTCTAACCCGGTACCTTGTAGCGGTTGACCCGGTGGGTGTGTGCGACATGTTTTTCTCATTGGGTCAGGTCAAAGTGGGTCGACTCGCGGGTTGACAACCTTGCCCAATACCAAATACCGAAATCTCGAATATTGAATTACAGTCTAAAATCAATCCTAATCTCTAAATAATTTCGGTATCCTAATCCCAATTTCTAAATATTTCAATATCTCAATTGGTACTTCGCTATCTCAATCAGTATTATCGAATACGAAATTAATTACTTTGCAATTAATAATTAAATATATAAATTAGAATTGATTGTTTAATTTAAGGCAAAGAGACTAAGTAAAGAGTCTTAATTTTATCTAGAGTTAGGATATGGATAAGAATAATGGAGGAGATGTGACATCTTAAATTTTTGTTATTGGTAATCTATAATTTGACTAATACTGGTGTTTGCTTTTTGGTGCTATGAAAATAACAAGAGATTAGGTGAGAGATGAGATTGACTTAAACTGAAAAGTTCAATTGAGTTGGATGAGGGCTTCTTAGTTGTGAAAGAGTGAGGAATGACCAAAGGTTGTGTGCTATATTTCATTAATTTTTAATTTTTGGTATTTTGGTATTTACTGATTCCAATCCCATAATCCTGAATACTGAATAGCACTCCAAAATCAATCTCAATCCCAATCCCTAAAAAATAATCCGATATTCGGTAATACCAAATAGTGATAAGTTCGGTATCGGTATTCAATATATCCGAAATACCAATACCAAACTTCTAGTCCAAATGAGGTTGGTTGAATAAAATATTTTATTTTAGCAACGATATTCATTTTTTTTAAGAAACGATATTCAATTAATATTCTATTGATTGAACTATTTTCTTACCACTATAAGGGGAACGGATCAGGTGGGTAACCTTATGGTGAGTAACTATGAGTAACCCGCCCACATCAGCATGACATCAGCATCCTCTCTCTCCTGGAAAGCCTTTAATTTTCCCCTCCTTAATCTTTGACGGACGATTTCTCACTCGTTTTAAGTCAAAATTTAATTTTTTTTTTGCACAGTTAGATCAGATTAATTGTGCTCTTCAAAATGATATCCACTTTGATATATTTTTCGAACAAAAAAAATTGAGCCATTTTTTACCAGTCTATACCATATGTTATTGACTGGTATTGAAATAAGAGCATACCTATGGTTTGAAAAGTGTACCATGGTGGTATGATACAAACCAAAATTGTAGGATGGTTGAATACATGATAGTAGAAGTATATTAATTGTCATTTACGACTTTTAACATTATATACCATAAGATACCACCCCGTACCAACGTGGTATTGTATGATATTGTGTGGTATTTTTTGGTCTTGTAATTTGTTCACCCAGAAATTTGTAGATCCAATAGATCATGATGAACTCGTCCCTGCTGTGCAAACGTTTTCAAAAACGAATTAAAAACGAAGACGATACCATATGGTATGCAGTTGGTACCGAGAGGCCAGAATTTTTTTTTCCACAAAAAATATTGAAAATTGATCTCATTTTGTATTTTGTAGAGCACGATGAACCTCGTTCCATCTGTGCAAAAAAAATTAAAATCCGAGTTAAAACGAAAAAAATATGAGTCAATTAAAAAAGCTAGTGAAAATAAAAAGTATAGTATTGGTGCTTTAATGTACAACTCAAAGTTGTACCATAATGAGCACTTCTACTATGCTATATAGTATTGGTGCTTTAATGTACAACTCAAAGTTGTACCATAACATTAAACGTATAAGTTTAGGTTGTACCATAAAGCAATTTGTACCATTATGTTATGGTACAACTTTACAACTTGAAGTTGTACCATCACATAAAGGTACAAGTTCAAGTTGTACCATAAAAGAATTTGTACAAAAAGTATAGGTACAATCTAAAGTTGTACCATAACGTAAATGTACAATTTTAAGTTGTACCATAAAGACAAAAACCTATAGCACCAATACTATATAACATTGTAAAATTTCTCTTCCACTAATTCACCCTCTACAAATCTCGATATAGTTTCCGATAAACATTACTTTATATCGAGTAGGGTTTCTAGTTGTTCTTATCGGTTTTGGATATGGGTTTCAAATTGTTTTGTACTTATAGATTTCGATTTGGTTATAATCAAAAGACCGATAAGAAATTGATAACGTACCGAAAACGAGCCAGTATCCCAAATCATTTTGTGCTTTTGGGTTCGATTTGATTTCAACAATGCTTTGATTTTTTGGTATTTTTCTTCTCGCTTCGGTTTAACCAAACTGAACCAAAATCCCACCCCTAATTTAGAGAGCACCACGCCACCACCTATGGATTGAGACGTTCTTCAATTTCAATTATGAAGAGACTAAAATGCTCGGTTCTTGGAATCGGATCGGAGGTTGAACCGAAAAAGTTATTATTTTAGGGTTCAGTGGTTAATCATTACAATACTGTTGGTGAACCGTTGATAAAATCGTTCATGATATATAACATATAAAACTTGTATATTACACTAATTTAAGAATGAAATTATCATTGACCATAAAAAATTTCAAGTTCATATCAACACCAAAATATCTAATAAATCATTCAAACCGTCTCACAAAAGAAATCATTTTTTAATTCAAATTAAAATTTATGGTGCCAGTCGAGTAGTCGATAACAAGGTTGGAAATAAGAAGAGGAAGCATATATAAATTAATAATTATGGTTTGATGGTCTTAGTTTTAGTTAAAGTTTATTTTTTTACCTTTTTTGGTTAAAATAGTGAACCAGTGGACCAATTAAACCGTGGTGGTTCATGTGATTTCATGTTGAACCGTGAAAAACCGTTTGGTCCATCAATAATCGTCCAAACAATGAACTGGATCGCTATCATAACTGGGTTGGCGGTTCTACTGGCTCGGCCATTCATCCGATTCGGTTCTTATAACAAGGCTAAAATGCAAGGTTGTCAAAACAGTTAATGTCGTCATGTTGATTTGGCAAGTAGTATGCTCCAAACAATGGTATAACCAATTTATGTCAGTTCATGTCGGTTTTAGCAACACATGTATGGAAGGGAAAATCACTAAACTAAACGACTTTAGGCATATAGGGGTCGACCCCAAAGCCATAATGTCTCAAAATGAGGAGGCCATAAAGAAACTACTTATTATTCCTTTGTATATTTGAACACCATCTCTCTAAAATCTACATCCATATTTATATAAAATTCAACATTCCACACAAAATGTAAAATCCTCATATTTAAATACAATATTTAACGCCAATATCCAAAATTTTATACTTTAATTTAGTAAATAACGTGAACATCTAAATATTCATACTTAAATCAAACACATATTATCAACATTTAACTTTCAAATTCAAGAAACAAATTTAAAATATTATTTTTTAATTCACCAAAACGGTGTCATTTTATTTATATGTTGGAAATTAGTTATGACAGTCATATTAAGGGCATTCCACCAACCTATAGTCCTATACTAATTGAGGAAAAAATTCCAAAATACACTAGTTGTTAAAAAAATTCCCAAAATACGTACGTTATAAAAAAATTCTCAAAGTACACATGTTTGATATTCACCGCCGTTGTCTAACGCAGTGAATATAATCACCACTGAAGAGTAAAACAGTGAAGCAATCACCGCTTTAAACAAAAACGGTGAATGCTTCACCGTTTTAGTTAAAGGCGGGGAACATATCACCGCGTTAAGCAACAACGGTGACGCCTTCACCGTTTTTGTAAAACGCGGGGAACGGATCACCGCGTCGAACGGCTATAGTGAAGGGGTTGGACGACGCGGATCGCTCGACCCTTTCACCACTGTCGTCGGATGCAGTGAGCCGCGAATTCTGGTTTTCCTCCCGGATCTGACGCCTCACAGCCTCCCACGTCAGCTATCCCTCTGGGTAATTAGCATAAATAGTCACAAACCTTTGCACTTAGTACAAAATAGTCACAAACCTTTAATTTGTAACCATTTGATAACAAAACTTTTTACTTAGAACAAAACGGTCACAAATTAAACAGTGTGACCATTTCATACTAGTTCAAACTTTTGTTACCGTGTTGTTGCAAATTAGACTTTTGGTGACCGTTTTGTACAAATTAAGTTCAAAAGTTTGAACGCTCAATCACCGTTACAATTCGCTCTAGTTGTATGGTGGTTTTGTTAATGTATGTGAATGATATGATCGTCATAAAGGATGACAATGAAAGGCAATGGCTCACAAACGGGTTCCAGACTGCTTTTTAGTTGAAAAAACTCTGTCTACTTTCTTGGTATCGAAATTGTCAGTTCAACTCGAGGGCATTCTTATTCGGCAAAGCAAATATGTCGATGAACACATGACCTGACATCTTATATGTCGTTCAAGTGGTTAGTTTCATATACTTAACGAACAAATTACCCGACCTCAAAATATGACAAACATTTAATTTGTAACGATTCGGTAACAAACCTTTGCACTTAAAACAAAACGGTCACAAATTAAATAGCGGTGACCATTTTATACAATTTCAAAGTTTTGTTACCGTATTGTTACAAATTAAAGGTTAGTGACCGTTTTGTACTAAGTGCAAAGGTTT